CCGATAGGCCCCGCCCCGCTCCCCAAAGTCCCGCCCCTGCCCCTTCAAGTACCCTGGGATCTTACCTCCCTGTGGCCTGTAAATATTTGTTTAAACCCCAGTTCTCCCCAGGCACTGAGCCCTCTGCCTCCTCATTCCCCCGGGGAACCAGGTGTCAGCCTGCCCCCCTATCATCCTCACCTCTCTCGTGGGACTTGGGGCTTCCCACCACCAACTTCCTGTCCCCAAAGATACCTCATTTCAGTGACTCATGTCAGTCTACCACCGCCCGCAAGATCATTTCTCACTCAAACTTCAAATAAATCCCCTACGTTTCGGTAAAATAGCTTTATCCTCTGTCAAAACACAAACCAACACAATTTGGGGCGGGAGGGATGGTGGCGAACAATTCAGGCTAGTGCTGGCTCAGGTAGAAGAGGGGAGACATTAAAAAGCTACCCCCTTCCCCCCCACACACACACACTGCTTGCCCAGCTGAGAAAAAAGTCACGACCCTAACACCCACTTATAAATATCTGTTATATTAAAAAAAAAAAAATTTCCAGGGCCCACCTGGCCCTGCACAGAAAGGGTTAACCTTCAGTATTTGATGTCGGGGTCACAGGGCAGGGGGGTGGTAAGGGGAGGCAGATTGGGAAAAGAAGGGGTGAAAAACAAAGAGAGGACAAGCCAATACGTAAGTAGGGCTCTCCCAAACATCCAGAGGGAGCTGGGTGAGGGCCCCTGGTAGAGACAGAGGCGTGCCCTCAGGGTACCCGGTCCCCAGTCCCTGGTGCTCTGGAGTGACCTGTCCTTCCACACCCATGAGGTCCCAACATCAGGATCCATCCCTTCCCCTCGGTCGCAGCCCGGCTTGCAAGGTCCCCTCCGACAGGAGCAGCCCCCTCTCCAAATAAGAGGCCTCAGGCAAGCTGGGGGTCCATTCTGGGGGAAGCCACTTTCGGGGTTCCCCCTTCAGTCCCTGACCAGGCGATAGATGTGGTGCTGGGCGCCCCGCTCACTGGTGGAGACTTCGAAGACGTAGGCGGTGCAGAGCAGCAGCTCTTGGGTGTCTCGGTTCGTCACCACCTGCCAAGGGGCCAGAGAAGGGGTTTGTGCTTAGAAGGGACCCCTGTGCCCTCCCTCAGTCATCATGGGGCCCCCAGGAAAAGGTTCCCACCACGTCACAGGTCCCAGGCAGAGGGGATGCTCAACATGCCCGCGAAGGGCCTCGCATCAGATGGTATATCACGTGTTACCGGGTCAAGGAAGTCCCCACGTCACATCCCCAGGGGAAAGGTCCCCAGCTCAGCACATTCCTCAAAGTCAAAGGGATCCCACCCAACCGTGTTTCCTGGGCTAAGGTTAGGTTCCCTGTACAGAAGGTCCCCTCAGCTAAGGACCCACCATGACTCCTCCAGGTCAGTTCCGCAGGGAAGGGGGGTCCCTCATGAGAATGCTGTGGAGTCCCCACCCTATCAGTCCCCTGGGTCATGGGATCCCCTAAGCCAGTGGTCGGCAAACTCATGAGTCAACAGAGCCAAATATCAACAGTACGACGATTGAAATTTCTTTTGAGAGCCAAATTTTTTAAACTTAAACTATATAGGTAGGTACATTATTATTAACTTAATTGGGATACTCCTAAGGCTCAGAAAGAGCCACACTCAAGGGGCCAAAGAGCCGCATGTGGCTCGTGAGCCGCAGTTTGCCGACCACGGCCCTAAGCCACGGGTTAACTGCAGGGTCCCCAATGTGTCAGTCCCCCAGGTGGGAGGGTCTGGGGCTGAAGGGCTGTGGTGGGCACGCCCTCCACACCTGGGCCCCCGTGGCCCAGCCTCAGCGCATCGCCTGGAGCAGCGGTTCGCAACCTGTGGGTCGCGACCCCTTTGGCGGTCGAATGACCCTTTCACAGGGTCGCCTAAGACCATCCTGCATATCAGATATTTACATGACGATTCATAATAGTAGCAACATTACAGTTATGAAGTAGCAACGGAAATAATTTTATGGTTGGGTCACAACATGAGGAACTGTATTAAAGGGCCAGAAGGTTGAGAACCACTGACCTGGAGGATGGTGAAGTTCTCCAGGACGCTATTCATCATGTAGCGCTCGGGCAGCTGCCGCAGCTTGTGCAAGAAATTCACCAGGTACTCGCACATGGGCGAGCGCAGCAGGCGGTACACGAACCTCCCGTCCTCCAGCTGGGCGCGCTCCGTCTGAGCCAGGTGGAGAGGAGTGGGGAGGACGGTGACTGAGACACACATGGGTCACCCCAGGAGCCCAGCCACCCCACCCCCCACTGCCATCTTCCCTCTCCGCTGCCCCATCTGCAGTGACTGAACCCTCAGGTGTCCAACTCAGGATCACTGAGCCTGCAAACCAGGGACACCCCCAACCCCTCAAAGCCGTGCTCTGAACCTTCCATGACCTCTGAACTCCTCTGATCCCTGGTACCCTCAAGCCCTCCAGGCCCCTCAATGAGATCCCCAAACTCTCTAACCTTTGAAATTGAGACCCAGCAAGTCCTTAGCAACCCAACTGTGACCACTGAGCCTCCTGGCCCTGTGAACTCTGCCACATTCCCAGGAATCTTTTGCATCTTAGTGACTGTGCATCTCTGTCCCACACATTACCTTTGAACCCTCAAAGCGACCCTTACATGTGACTTTAGAACGCCACATCAGCTCTACGCCTGTGCATTAAACCCCCAAAGAGGCTGGGCCACCCCCACCCCACCATGAAGACAGCCCCAAGGCCTGAGCTGTCGTGGCCCCTGGTCCGTTTACTTACTCTGCACCCCCAGAGTGCCAGGGGCCTGGGTGCTCCCCCGCCCAGAGCTCCACCCCTCCGGCCTCACCTCCACTTTCTCCACCACCTGCTTGCCAAAGGAGCAGACTTTGGAGGAGCAGGTGAGAGTCATGTGCTCCAGGCTCTCGTACTGGCTGCTCACACCATAGAAGCCACCACTGCTGCCAGCGGCCCCCACCTCCTCACCACTCGGGCCCCAGTTCAGGTCCGCCTGGGGGATGGGGAGACACAGGTTAAGTTGGAGGAGACATCCCTTACAAACGTCCCTTATAAATGGTGGAGTCTCGGCCCGGCCGGTGTGGCTCAGTGGTTGTGTATCGACTTATGAACCAGGAGGCCACAGTTCCATTCCCAGTCAGGGCACATGTCTGGGTTGTGGGCTCGATCCCCAGTGTGGGGCAGGCAGGAGGCAGCCGATCAATAATTCTCTCTCATCATTGATGTTTCTTTTGTTCTTTTCTCTTTTTATTAATTTCAGAGCGGAAGGGAGAGGGAGAGAGAGATAGAAACATCAATGATCATTGATCGGTCACCTCCTGCACGCCCCCCAGTGGGGACCGAGCCAACAACCTGGGCATGTGCCCTTGACCGGAATCGAACCTGGGACCCTTTAGTCCGCAGGCCGACGCTGTAGCCACTGAGCCAAACCAGATAGGGCTCATCACTGATGTTTCTAGCTCCCTCTCCCTTCCTTTCTGAAATCAATAAAAAAAATTTTTTTTTAATAAATAAACAGTGGAAACTCTTATAACATAGGAACTCTGTTATAGAAGGAACCCGTGGTCTGGTTTCTCCCATTTGCCCGTAGCTGCCCACCTCACTTCCTCCGTGTTCAAAGTCCCCACCTCTCCAAGTGCCGGCTTCAGAAGTCTGAGTCCCCAAAAGGATCCTGACCCTCTCTGCCCAGTGAGCCCCCCGCCCAAGGAGCCCTGCTATTCAACAGTTTTGCTCCTGAAGCCCCCAACTCAAGAGTTCAGCCTCTTCCAAGGGCCTGGTTCCTAAGGAGGGAATTATTGCCTAGCAACCGGAGGCTCTCCCCCAGAGCCCTTAGCAACCCTGGTTGCTAAGACAAGGGGCTACTTCCTAGCAACGGAGCCTGGCTCCTCTTCAGAACACCCTCTGGGGCCCTTGCAGCTGATTCTCAGAGGTCAGACACCTCATGTCCCAGCAGCCAAGTGAGCAGACAATCGTTATGCCAGGTGGGGATCTGAGACCTCATAGCACCTTTGGCCTGAGCCCCCTGATCACCCTAACTTCCTGGGAGGCAGGCCTCTTCCTCTCCCTAACTTGAGTTACCAGCTTGACCAGGCCCTCCAAGGCCTGACTCCATCCATCCCCCCAGCACCAGGGCCTTGTGAAGCCAGACAAATACTGAAGGCCTCTCCCGCCACTCCCTGTGTCCCTTCAGATGCAGGGCTCCTATGGGTCTCTCTCCACCCCTGGCACCTGGCGCGGCCCGTCTTAAGCCCTACCAATGCCTACAGCCTCAGCAACACATCCCCAGAGCCGTCTCGGGCCTCCACTTCACACGCTAGAGCCCTTGGTAACTGCAGTAGCTACGGGTCCAGCAAGGCCAGCAAACTCAGGCCCTCTGCACGCTTCCTTCTCAGAGACTAGATCCCTCCACTGCCCTGGTTACCACAAGAGGTAACACGCCCCCAAACATTCACCTATATTGAACCCCTATAGCATCAGCCACTGGACTGGACACCAAACCAAGAGGCCTAAGAAAGACCCAAATGGACCCACAATTATTTATATGGAACCTGGCATAGGGCTTTGTATATAGTAAGTGCTCAATAAATGATTGTTCAGTAAATACGGGACTTTACAAAGCCACCACCCCAACCCCCACCCCCAGCTCCTTCAGTGGTACCCTCAAGGCCAGACATTCTCTAACAACAGGGTCTGGCGGAAAGTAGCATCCCCTCTTAGAGACCAAAATTCGCCAAGACTTCATTTGCTAAGGGGAGGAGACATTCCCTAGCAACAAGGCTTAGTGTGGGCAGGTGGGGTGAAGGGAAGT